GAGCTTACAAGTATTTAAATAATAAGCAGTTTCAGCAACATCATACTGTTATCTTCAATGAGTCTTAAATCTTTCAACAGAATGAAGCATATATTAAACTGTCGAATAACATCAAAGTTATGTCTGTGCATATTATAGTGAATTAAAAAAAAAGTTTCAGTTTCCTGCTTTGGAAAACATTTTATAATATTGCCTTAACCATAATAATTATCTTTGTCTTTTCTAAAAGACAACTTCAAATTACGATGGGCATTCACAACATTCCAGAGGAATTTAACTTCAATATTTTTCTTTACATAAGACTTCAATAAAAGTTCAGATAAAGCATTTATTCATTTATGTCTCGAAAAATAGCATAAATCCATTCTATAAAAGATATGCAAATATATTACAGTACAAGCAGAATTTCATTACTTGTGATAAATATCTTTACTTTCTTTATAATCAACTTTCAAAAGTTGCTTAAAATATAGATACAAAAAACATTTTATCATTGAATTCTCCATTACAACAGAATTGAAATACAACATCTAATTATTTTTTAAAACTTTATTATTATTATGTTTTTTTTATTTAAGATGAATGTAAGTTTAACTGAATTTAATGATTAGCTTTCAAGCCTAATGTGTTGTTACAGGGCAATAATTAAGAAAAAAGGTGGTCTTAAATTGTATGATCCAAAGGAATCAGTCCTATAGTAAAAATATTAACTAGATTTGTTTAGTGAAGGATAAAGAACATAGGTCTGTGGCATTTGTTTTTTAATGTTTCATCTACCATTAGACACGTTGATAACACAAACTTAACTAAGAACCCAGCTAAGGGTTCTAGTGAGTTAACTTTCAAACTCCAAGCATAAAGCTCCTCGAGTTTGTTTTTTTTTAACTGTAATAAGAACTGCAGAATAATGCTGAGATGTAAACTGTAAACTAGTTTATATAAGTTCATAAAATAAAATAAACAGATAGTATATACATTTGAAAATACAATATTTTATTCTTAAACCTACTTCAAAAATCTAAATATTTATTTTAGGAATTGTTCATAGCTTTTTTTTCATAATTGCACAAACATTTATTCTAGTGTCTTAACTGAAATAAATCCTATTCTAATGTCTAACTGAACTTAAAAAAATAAGGACCATCAGGAACACTACAACCATTTCTGTGAATTTTATACAGGACCATAGTTGGCATAACTATGGTCCATATCATTTTCCCATGAGTCAACTTTTTCAAATATACATTTATCATGTGTGCTAAAAAAGAAACAAAAAGCTCAGTAGTTCTAGCTAGAAATAACCTGCACAATGTACAATCAGCAGTGAAAGCGTAAAGTTAATTTATTGACATCGTTTTCAAGTGCCAGATAAATAAAACAAATATGCACTTTTTTCTTATTTTTTTTTATTATGCAAAATCTACCAATGGGTATCCAAAATATTACACACACAAACAAACAGTGTGTGACTTCTGAAAAACTCCATTACCCTCAGTTATGGAGAATCCATATACAAAACTATAATATAAACTTTTCAAACTTAAGTAATACCACACAAACACACACTGAATTATCATACCTTAAAATGTTTTGGAATGTTTTTGTTTATTTTGCCAAATGCTAATTTTTAAATTATTTGGAAACTTAAAAGGCCATTCATATTCATTAGGTACAATACCATCTACGCCACCTTCAAAGAACGTGAAGAGTGGGAACCATATTCTGGCCCGTCTTCCATCATCCTGCATCAAAGCTCTGTTATTTGCCAAGGTATGGTAATAAAGGAACAAACGAGTTGTAATGTAAAATGCTACAAACACATCAATAGAATAATGCTCATGAGCAGCAAGAATAAAAAATATACCAAACAAGTTAAGAACCCATGTGGTGGTGTGCAGAAAATATAATGTTCGTGGAGAATCTGTAAAAAAAAAAAAAATTTTTTTAACTCAATCAATATTATCAATAGAGAAGCATTACTCTCAGTACAGATATAAATACCTGAAAAAAAATTAAACCAAATGTAAAGCTCAACAACAGAAGTAGATCATAAAAAAATACAAAATTTAATATGTGGCACAAATCATAATCCATACTATAAGCAAACCTGTACAACAAAAACTAAACAACTTACAGGTGAAGTTAAGAAGGTGTTCTTAGATGCTCTATTATTATGTTACAGTTTTTCTGATAGTTATTTTTAGATTGGCTCTAAAAATCTAAGCAAAATTAAAGTTTTTCAGTAAGAATAATTTTCATAAGGATAGATATTGTAACTTGCATAATTTACAATAAATGATTCAGGCACATTTCCATACTTACATAGAAAAGCAGTTGTCTCACAAAACTACAAGCAAAAATTTATCTAAATGCAAATGTTAAGAAATATATGATGAAGAAAAAAATACAAGATAAATTGGCAAGTATAACAACACTATCTAAAAATCTCAAACAAAAAACATGGAAAACCATAATTTCTTTATTGTTTTAAATACTACTTTAACCATACAATCACCAAATGAAACCATATGAGACTCTGCTATTTTTAAGCTATCTATGCACCAAATTATTAGTGTGTCAATGAACAAGTTGACTACAGAATCCCTAACAAAACATTAATCACACTAAAAAAACAATTATACAAAAATATCATCTATAATTCAATTACTCCAACTAGTTACTATGTAGATTTGTTATTCATTTTACACAGTAATAAACTGACTGCACCCATTTTACACAGTAAATAACTGATTGCACCCATTTTTTTTTCAGTTTTTTTATACCAAATTTTGTTGTACTGAAAAACATCAAATTCCTCAATATGATGCAATATGTAAACCGCATGAGAAGTGAATGGTATGAAAACAAGTTGGAGATTTCAAGGTTAACTTTTTTTAATAAAAGTAAACAAAACAAAATATAATTTTACATTTGAAAAACAAACAGAAAATGCATTCAATACCATTTATATTCAACTACTTGCTTTTATTACCATCTTACTTAAAATAATCAGTCAAATAAAATGGACTTTTGTGCATATTTAATAATTCTATCTATCACAGCACAGACAGAGTGGAAAGCAGCTGAGTAATGGGTTGTTGTTGGTTTTTTTTAGCACAAAGCTACACAATGGGTTATCTGCACATTGTCTACCATAGGGAATCAAACTCTGGATTTTGGCATCATAATCCCAGAAACTTACTTCTGATACACCTGGGGATGCAGCTGAGTGAGATAAATGTTATAGAAGATGCTAATTTAATATAATTTTTGAAGATACAGGCCAATAAAACTTGTGTTAAATGCAGGTGGAAAAATCAATGTATTAAAGTGAAACAGAACTCCATAATATAAACTGTATATGTCAATGAAACTATGACCACTTACCTTCAGATTCAATAAATCAAATGTGTGTATCAATGTTGAAATGCTAAAAAAAAAGCTTTTTCAGGTTTATAAATTTTCAAACTACTTAAAACCTATTGCTATTCTTAAGCTACTTACATTCTGTGATAAAAAAATTTAGAAGTGTTAATACAACAGTATGTCCACTGAACATGTAATCTCCACATGTCCTTACACCTTGAATAGACATCCCTACACCTTCCCAAATCATGAAGGCTTCGTGTAGTTTCTGGCTCCAGTTACCATGAGGCTTTATTAAACACAAACAAAAATATTTTATAAAATATATAAAATAAAGTATTACAAATATAAAACTTTTCGTCAGAAAGACTAACACTTTTAAAACACCATACAGGAAACAATTGAATCACAAATTTTCTATAGCAGGTGAGCATAATTTGAAAAAAATATTAGAAATAAATTTACAACCAGTGTTGATAAAAAGTTTAAGGTGAAGCAAAAATACTTTTCACAGTAAAAAAAAAAAATTAGATTATTTTATTTTGATGTCTCATAGATGGATTGTGTTGAAGCATTAAATTCTCACTTCAATAAACATTATAGCAACATTTCTGATACAGCATTTATACTGTATGACCCTTTAATACCTAATGTTTGCTCATTTGTCAAAGAAACCATGGCAGACAATGTAAGCTTTACAGTAGAAGTTACTAACTGAAAAAGATGAAAAAGAAATACCTTATATACTGCTAGTTGATTTTAAGTTAATTATTAAAGTTAGTTTTTAAAGTAGCTGGCTGTATACATAGCAATTTCATACTACAGTCCAGACCCACACATCGGTCAATACGATATATCAGTCAAACCTTAATTACAGCTATTTTGGCTCAGTCCCAAATATTCTCTTCTATTTTATGTTTGTAAAACATCCGCTAATATGGGCATTCGTATTGCTGTCAACTTGCCTTGTGGTCACCTGTTTCCCAGTCCCAAGTGGTCTCTTTGAACTCAGTATTGCAGCCACCCAGGCCAGCTCTCATCTGCCACTGCCCAATTTAGACTTGTCAATCCAAGTGAGGCCACAACCATACATCGACTGATAGTGGCCACATCTTGTAGGTGTTACAAACCAGGTGACCATTGATGTTCCCTATTAATGGCATGTTAATCCTACCTGATGCTTCACACCTCATGCTACACTGATGATCACGCATACACGATCAAACAAGCAGTATGTTTTCACACTCATTTGTAACACTTCTAGTTCGGTGTCTCTTTGGTCTTCCTGTGAACTAAAGATTTATTCAAATAGGAAAATTCACACATTCATTTCAAGTTTTGTCACCTTTCACTCCATTTTGCAATAAATAGAGCTCTGCTTTCTCAGCCAAATTAATTGTCTCTGTTCTATTGAAGGAAATGGCAGAAAGTTGTTGTTTGATGATTTGAGTATCATTACCGCCAGGTGTCACCACATGTGCACATAAACAACAGTGACATGCCTTGGCCTCTGATACTGTGTGGTAAAAGGAAAAGTCGTGAAGCTCATCGTTGTCCTAAGTTTTGCATTTATCTGTTAATCAAATATACAGTATGGAATTTTATTTTTTAGATAAGAAATGTAAAAATAGATATGTAAAGATGTTATTACAACATTCTGTATCAAACAGGAACATAGAAAGGTGAGTTGTAGGGGTATGTACTGTGCCTTAGATGCCTCAGTTTGATCACATACAGTGACACCTGTGAATACAGCCACCCTGCTATGCGGCCATTAATTACTTAGACTCACAGCAGACTAGATAAACGGGGCTGGACTGTAATTTAATTTTGGGCATGTGCAAGAAAAAAAAATCACTTATTTTGTTATTGCAAGTTCCAGTAATAGCAGATGCAATGTTTTATTTTATAACATATACTTAAGCTATTTAATCATTACAAGTTGCAATATTTACGAAAATAATTCCCCCTTTACACGCATAAGCCAAAGATGCATCTCATTATTAGTATTACTTTAAATATTTACACTTTGAAATCTAATAATTCTTAGCATAAATATGATAAACTTAAACCAAAATTCATCTTATAATTAAATTTCAACTGTTAAAAAAAAAAGATTGTGAAGTTTATTTACAAGTACTATCAACATGATCAGTTTGAACTGTCATTACCTAGCAGTTTGAATTGAGACGATGATTTTTTAATTTTTTTTAACCCTACATGCATGGATGGGGGGGGGGGTCAAAGTGTACACACCATGATATTTTACATGGTAATACTTAACGTTGGTATTATGTACTTCGTTTCAGAGTTGTCAAATATTCATTTTACCTTAAATTGCTGATTAAGTAAGTATTAAAAACATTATTGAGAGATACTGAAAAAACTCCAGATAAGCATTTCAGAGGTTCTAGAGATTATGCAAATGCAATATGTACATTACAATAAACAAAAGTATTATTCTTTACAAGATCATTGCCTTATGCTCCAACTTGTTAAAGTCTGAATAAGATTGACATCATCAGTTCACAGACCTATCTTCAGTACAAGTACTTTGATAACAACTGATTTTTTGTGTACAACAGACTTGTACATTTTTACTAAAAACTTGTCACATTGTGTAATTACACATACTAAATTTGAAATTAGTCAACATTCCTTCTCAAATGCAGGGTCAGTCCAATGGACTGACCTCATGCACATTCGGTTTATCAATTTTTCAAATACTTGTTTTCGTTTAAAACTTAAATGTCACACTACTATAAGCATTCCCTTCTCTTACAAAGCCTAAGCAAACTTGCACTTTTTTTAAAATATTGATACTGAACTTACCCTCCTTTGACAGTCTAAATGTGTTCCAGGCACTGAGAGAGATGTAATCAGCATAGTTATACATCTCAAGAGAAACACAGAACCAAACAATGAGAACATTCTTCTTAATAAAATAAACCTGTCAAATACAAAAAATACAATAACTTAGTTTCAACTTAGCCATCAGAATAATATTTTTGCAATTTGAAACATTACCATCTTAATATTATGTCCAGTTTTCTTTTCACTTCTAAATCATTTTAATTAAGTGTCCTTCTAGGGGAAAAAAGTGCTTTTATATGAAGTTTCAGTACTAAAATAAATTATTTACATTTAAAACCAACTTCTTGAATGTTCAACTGAAGCAGACCTTAAAACAACTAGTTTTAGACAAGAAAGATAGTGTTATTCATTGTACAAATGTTGGGAGAATGGCTCATCAATAGTACAATTAACAATGTTTTTTTGTCTTACTGACTTTGAAACTTGCTTCACCAATATATAAAATAAAATGTTGCAAAGACCACAAATGATGCAGTAGATGACAGACTCAGATAAACATACAGCAATTTTATCATATGAAAATGTTTTCAATCTGCTGTTGTTTATTTGTTGAAGCTGTAATTTATGACTGAAACTAAGCATATAAATGTTTAAAATTTTATAAAAAATTTATGTCAGTGAAAATCTTAAAGAGAGACAGCAAGTTCAGTGGTTGTCAGTGTAGCAGTGACATTTTTTTCTATAAACTTCTATGATCAGACAGACTACAGCTATTTAAGAAAATAATCAAACAAATATTAAGTGATCACAATTTTAAGTTCATAATTTTTTCTAAAAGTTTAGATTATGATCATAGTCATTACCTTTTTAGCCACAGCATATGGCTCATAGAATGGATCCAAGTTTTGTTTTCAAGTACAAACTTTTAGCTCATAGCTCCATCATCTTTTGACCGATTTGAGATCTAATTATAGTTTTGGACTCCTTTCGATTGATGTATTTAACCACATTGAAGATCTCATGAATTAATTTATTCTAATCCTACATAAAATAATTTCAATTTGAGGGTAGGCTGGTAGAGATCCTGATGAGTAATAACATCAAATCGGGTATACACTCACCCCACATTTATTACTGACACACAAAAATATAGCTAAGAAAAAAAAAGGTCTCAAAGATAAATTTACTTTAATCCTGCCTAAAACAATTTAAAACGATGCAGCTATTGAGGACTCCCTCTTGTTTTAAAGATTTTTCAATAAAACCAGATAATTCAAAATAGAATAAAAGACTCCAGGAGTCTTTCTTCCCTCCTCAAAATTGCTAAACATCATTCTCAGGTGAGGAGTTTTGCCCCTCAAAACCCCAACCAGAGGGGAGGGGCACTTTCCTGGACCAGCAAGAGGGCCTAAGCAGGTTAAAAATATGGTTGAAAGCATGTATTGGCTAAAGGTTTGACTACACAAAAAAATTAGAGTGGGCTAACCTTATATTTGTATATCATGACATTTATAAGCAGATTATACTCCCTCTGTTATGAAACATAATGAGTTTTATAAGAGTTTCTGCTTTTAACTATCATAAACATGTTACAAAGTTTATCTAAGATTAAATACAATACAATACACTACTGACTACTAGAGTAGCCACTTGTTAACACCTTTATCTAGCTATAATCTAGAGAATTAACATTATGATGCAAGACGTGCATCAAATATAACTACAAATATATATTAGACAGAAGTTATTTCTTGAGCCAAAGTGTCAGCTACTTACTGAAATCTATGTATTGTAATTAATACCTGTGCTTGTGAAATATCATGATCGTAATCCATATACAGGCCAGTACAACTCCTGTGAACTCACACATTCCAAAAGCCCATGGTATAAAAGGCATATTGTCTAAAAAGATATCAGGTAGAGGAGGATAGGTTTTCATATCTGGCACACGATCATGAACTATCACCATCGTAATGGCAGTAATCCAGGTCACTGCCAAAAAATATATCATTGCAACAATCGTCTTCCATATTTCAGGCTTGAACTGAAATGAATTAAGTAATGAGAGGATTAATAGGTGTGTAGTGAACAAAAATTATACACATGGTGATGCTAAAATCACATACCACTGTCTCCATTTCCTTGATAAAATAATTGATTAGAATGTCATTAACCTTGCAAGTGTGTATATGATTCTGTTATTGACTGTAATGTTATATCAATGGTGCAAACTTCTACTATCTATAAAGATAAGACTTAGAAAAA